ACAAATGTTTTTTTTCAGAAAATAGGATAATATATATATATATTGTTTATATTAAATAGTTCGTAAATAACATGGGACAGCTTCATAACAGTACTATGACAACTCGCGTAATGTTTGATGAAAAAGGTGATAACGGATTAGTTCTTAGCGGGAAATACTTGCCAGAGGAATTATTAGCAGAGATTCTCTGCCTGGTTGATTATAAGTCATTATTAAACTGTCAACTAGTGTGTAAACGATGGAAAATTTTAATTCAAACATACATTTGGCGTAAAAAGGCAGAAATTTCTCTCAGACGCTCACTACTTTTCGACAAGGAAGTGTCCTGGGATGTTTATTACCTTATATGTAAAAAAAAACCTTTCGAAAGGAATTTGGTGAAGAACCATTCTGGAAAGTATGGAAAAAATAGGCATTGGAAAATCGTTACTGAAGGAGGTGATAATTGGAAGGTAGAACATCCTCCACAAGGAGTTCCACCACTGCCACATGAGCCCGATGAGGCTCTCTTTGAACAATTCTGTTTTGTCACTTCTTATCACAGATGTACTAAAGTACAAATAATAGATTTGGAAAGTGAAGGATTAACGCCGTATGTTCTAGACAATTTACAGCCACCAATAGTGGTATGTTTTAACTCTTTGTATTCCTATGGCTCGACATCGTGTTTTGTTCAGGCAGTTTCTATATCTAATATATAGATATAGAGTTTAGAAGGATATCAGTTATTTTTCAGTTTGCATATGCACGTTCATGTAACTTGATAAATGAATATTGCACGATCATACATTTAACATTAAGCCACCTTCTAATTCTTGAAAGAAAAATCTCAATGGTTGCAAAATAGTCTCAAACTGGCTAGAACAAAACTGAGTAGAACGAAACTACAGAGGATTAAGTATTGTAATAAGTTATGTATATTCATGTTTCTAGGTGAGTGAATGGTACAGTTGTCGTTGGGATTGTCCAGCTGTTTATGAATGTACAATTAAGTTATTAGGTGAAAATAACAGAACCATTGATTTCTTTGATTTTCGTGACGATATCGAAGGGGAAAAGCAAAATCAATGGCATTGCGTATGTTTTATGTCTACACAATGTTTTCCTGTCATTGATCAAACATGCTTTTTATTTCATTAAATTTTTATTCAGATGTCGCATCAGTTTGAAAATTATGGGCCGGGACTTAGGCAGATTTCTTTTTACCATGGCGGTATTGATAAGTTGTTTTGGGCAGGACACTATGGCAGTAAAATGGCAGGTGCTTGTGTACGTGTAAAAATACCTACTGTACAATTTTCTGACACTGAAGAAGATCTTATAGCACCTGATACAGATGAATAATATATTTCCTACAAAGGTACGCTTGCAAATAGAATCAAACAAAATGGAAAGTATAGGTAATTTATATGTTAAAATAACATTTATAAGTTTTAATAAAAATATAAAATATTTAATAAAAGTTATACAATCTTAAAAACTTCTAAATAAAGCTTACAATTACATTACATGAAATAAGACACAATGAATAGCATTTTAAAACATCACTGTGTCCATGAATTGTAAATATGTGATTATATTTCGTAAACATGTAATGATAATGAAATAGAAATATTGAATTGACACGTGTCTCCTTAAACTTTAGACACGCGAGAGCTTGTAATAGTGGTTTGAATATTGATAGCAAATTCATGTGAAACACACCTGTTTCGCGCCTATGTCAGTTTTCACATTTTGCGGCTGTTTAAATAAAAAATATACATGGTATGCTTTCAACTTTCAAAGAAGCTTAAGAAAAATTAAAACGTATGTAATGATTGTAACTTAAATGCCATCTCAATTAAGTTTTGGGGAGCAGAATCTTGATAACATACATATAACTCTTTTGGATGGGGAGTTGTATATAATCGTCCAACAACCCAAAAAGTTGTATTTTCCCACTTAAACAACACGCCATGTTCCTTAACGGCAATTAAACTCTTATTAATCACAGTTCTGTCAACATCCGAGTTTAACATAGTTTTAAATCTTACAGTATTATGTAATAATCTGTGAATTATATGAACACATCTGTTAAAATTAACAAGAAAGTTATGATTTTTTTCTGCAGGTTCTACTGGTTTTGAAGACACAAGTATCCCTTCAACCATGTCCAAGTGTACATAATAATACAAGTAATTCTTTTCGCCCATTGTTAACGTTTTTGGTACTAAATATTCAGCTTGATTTAGTAAATTCTCTCTTATGTTAGATATGTCCATGTTTAACATTCGACAATCATTCTATAAAATATATATTTCTCGTAAATTACATATGTAGGTAAATTAACAAAACGTCATCTGTAGAATTTGTCGTATTATTCTTTACCTTATATACATCGATATCAGAATCACTGTCATCGGAATACCTCGATTTGCTAACGATTTTTTCTCTTGTTGCTCGTCTTCCTAATATAGGCAATGCTTCATCACTTATTTCGCTAATTCCACCAGTTCCTTGACTTAATGAATCTTCTGACGTGTGAAGAGAATACACTAGAGAAACGAAAGAAAATTATATTGTTTAAATGCTTATAATATGTTTAGTTTAATGAGAAATAATTTTATTTACCTGATCCTAAAGCCACGGGACATTCTTCTACGTCACGTTTCTTTAAGATTGAAGGTATTTCTTGCGTTTTTTTATTACTGCTTAACATAAGGGACGACTTAATATTAGAATTTTGTGCATCTGTTGACTTTATAAGACCTAACAGATTTTCCGTGATACTGGATGAGGATTTCACAAATACAGGATCTTCATAAGATATTACTTCCGGTCTAGTATTAGATTCTATCCATTTAGCCGCGAGTGTTGTTACTCCTATTTTTTGTATGTGCTTCAAAGTCTCTTGAGCTTCTTCTACATAAAATATATCTGGCCCAATAATCTCGCTACATCTATAAAAATATTTATATTTAATGGGAATGTTCCTATTAAGTAAAAGAAATTAAATTACAAAGCAAATTACTTTGCGGTACATCCGCCGGATTCTAAAAGGACCGCTAATAAGTCATGTCCATATCCAACAACCAGTAAATACCATTTTCCATTAGGTATAACTGGATGATTGTCTTTGTTATCTTCTATGTTTCCACGATTGCACGAAGAAGGATACACTTTCTTCCATATAACAAGACACTTCACTGGTTCGTTATTTATCAAATTTAAAATACAGTTTTGTCTAAGATAAGATTCTACTTCGATCAAATCGCTATGAGTTAAGTGAGATCCAAGAAGGTAATGCTTGTGATAAATGCAACTACCTAAAATCGTATACAGCCTTTGACAATCCATCGGATCTTCATTCTGAGGAAGATAATTGATATATATATTTTATCCACTATTACTTTATTATTTAATACGTACCCAATCTCTATAATCCATAGCTTCCATTTCGCTCAAGGCAGCGTCGACTTGAATTTGTGCGTCCCTCGATAATTCTATAAAATTAGCAACCGAGAATGTACTCCGGAATTTGTAATTTTCCATACTTTCGACATCTTTATTGATTTTCATACAAGTCGCATTTAATCCTACGTCATTTGCGTTACTTTTTAGGTCCAATAAGCGTTCGACAATCAAAATAAAGAAATGATCTAGAGAACATTGATTTTCCTGAGGTATGAAACATTTCGTCAACGATTCATACGTAAATTCTAGAGTCCTGACTATGTCAGCTGACAGACTAACTGCTTCCTCGGGAGTGCAACTAAAATTTTTGGAGCTAATTTAGATATTATTCAATTTACTATTTAGTTATAACTTACCATTTATTTGGTAATGCTATTAGGAGCAATTCATCGTTTTTAGGTGTATATACAACATGAATTTCTTCTTCTGCCACCTGTATTGTTGTACTATAAAAGTTGTACTATAAAATGTAATCGACGATAATTCAAACTAGTAGGTTTGTACAAACTAGAACAAGCATTTGTCTATACCTTGTAGGGTGTAGACCATCTATTCCTGGTAATAAATGATTAAGAGTTATAAAAGCTCCTCTTGCTGTACATAAAATTGAATGCACATTTTTAGTTTCCGAACGAGGAAACGTGTACAAAACACCTTGTAATTCTGATCCTATTTCTGAAAGTTCTGTAGTTCGCAAATACAATACACCCAGAGGATAATCTACTATTGATCCCATTAAATCTTTACTTTCTTCCTTATTCATTAGCCTTTGTACTAAGGCAGATTGCTGAGAACAGAAAGAGACACATCAGTTGTAAACTATAAGTCATCCGTAAATCGTTTATAATTATAAATACCTTGGGACTACTCGCTCCGGCCACTGTTTCTGTAACATCAACACCTGCAACTCTTTGTACCTCTAATATTACCTAAGCAAGAAAAAAATTAACTTATGAGGCATCTAGTATTTGTGTTAATTATTAAAATTTCAATTCTTTTTACATTTGTTGACACTGTTATCTCAGATAGTACGTGATCTAAAGTTTGATATGTAACATTATTTGAATTCACGCTTTTTAACCAATCTCCAATTTTTATGTTTTTATTCTTCATTGCTTCTCCATCTGGTATAAATCCTGCAACCATGATACGTATTTTATCTGAGAAGACACCTGGTATTATGCCGAAATAAGCTTCACACAATGTGGCTCTTCTTCCTAATTTATGTCTTCTATCCAGATCAACCCATAATGTAACTTCCCGAATTTCACCTGCCTGAGTTCAGATATTTTTGCATAAATTATATATGTTATGACTATCTCTGAATAGACTCATTTACCTCAAAGTCTCTAAATGTAACTTCTTTAGTTGTATTTACTTCTTTTCCCAAATTTCCCATATTGTTTGTAATAGTATTAAGATCATTTCTCCTATTTCTAGTACTAATACGTTTACTTTCTTTTCGTCTTATGAGCCTCATGAGTTTTCCTGCTCTAGTACTACGTCGACGTACTAATTCCGGTTGAGGATCATGCTTTGTCTCATTAAACGAGATTTGCTCATCATTTATACTATCTACAGCAGATTCTATATAAAATAATTCTCCATTCGAGTTAATTTCCGATTCCCATTCTGCTGTAGAACTGTTTATTTAAAAAATAAGTATACAGTAACAATGCAGTTTACTCATACTGAAAATAGCTCACAGTTTCAATTACCTGTCGGTATCTGAATAATATGATCCAGTACTTGATCCACTATCACTTGCCCACCAATCATGTTCATTATCATCTTTTGTATTCTCTGATGTACAGACTCGCTCAAATTTGGATTGTGATTTTAATAATGCATTCTTGTTACTTGTGTCATCCATTTCTTCCAAACCAGTTATAAGAGCTTATACAATACTTGCTTACCTTTTTCTTATAAAGTGAGTATAATTAAGATTCAATTTCACAATGTGTTTTTTACCTTACGCAGAACCATTACAAAACAACATATACTATAGAACAGGTGGATCTCTTATTATTAATCGTTTCAAGGCAAGGTTGGGTCTTGAGGTAAAGCTATTTGATTTCACTGCATGTATGAGTATGCTTATGTGGACAGGTGTAATAGTAGACCTTTCTCAACCTCACGCACTAACACGGACGCTTGCCGCCGTATAATAAGGAATTAAATGGTTACACGTAATTATTTACATTATGTTTATTACTCCTTATGGAAACGTCTGGAATATAATAAGAAGAAATTCAACTACCAGCAATATTTATTTTTATTCACGTATACAATCAGTTTTATAAAAAATAACGTACAAATCAGATCTATTTTTTGTAAAAACAATTCTTGGTACTTTGTGGTGTCAAGTGTATTATATTTAGTTAAATACTATGAGAAACCAACGAAATATCACGAATCAGCGTGTATATAAAAAGGTGTCTTTAGTCGCACGTTCTATTAAAAAAATAAATATAAAAATGAAGTTTACTGCACCTATCGACAAAAAGATATCATCGAATCGATTGCTTAAGCTTAGAGGTAACTGATTTCATTTCGCTTGTTTCTTTCTTTTTATGCGGATCAGGCTGGAAGCATTTCCACAGTCTTAAAGTTTCATCTGCTCCGGCACTAAGTACTGTAGTGCCATCCGGAGACATTGCTAAATGTAAAACTCGGCTAGAGTGACCCGTAAGTTCAGCAACCTTCGTCATTCCGGGATACTTCCAAATTATCAGTTGATTCTGAGCATACCCGTGTCCAGATACGATTTCCTTATATGTAGTAGACCAAAGCAGAGAGCATACTTGCGATTTTGTATCAACTGTGTTCAAGCATGCACCTGTTTTTTGAACATTTATAAAAGCATTTTAATAGGGTCGGTGAAGATTTTTGAAGAGATCAGAATAAACTCTTCCTTTTCTACCTGTATTACAATTCCAAAATCGAATGGTCCTGTCGGCTGTGCCGCCTCCACTCGCAAGAATATTATTCTGCCAGGGGCACCATGCAAGAGCTTTCACAGCAGCCTGATGTTGATTCAAGGAATATAACGGTTGCGCCTGTGCATACCCTTGTCCCAATACTAATGGCCATATTTGTAACATATTGTCATTACCGCCACTTGCTAAGTACTTCCCATCGGGTGACCACTTTAAACCACAGACTTCTTGAGTGTGTGCGTTTATCGCGGTTATTAAGTGATCCCTTTGTCTAACATCGTGATGAACTATTTGCCCCGCTCTGTTCAAATGCATACATTGGGATTAATAAATATTATTTTTTAATGAAGTAATAGTCATTATAAAAATGCTTACCTGCATCCACTTGTCAGTATATGCGAATTCCAAGCAAGAGATCCTACTCGGGCAGCGTGGCCAGTCATCATACGCACTCTTTTCGTTTGACTACAATCCCATAATTCTGTGTTTCCCACTGTAGTGCCTACTGCTAAGTATGGGCCTTCTTGAATCCAAGCAACAGAGCAAACGTAATCGTTGCCTTCTAACTCAAGCAATTGTTCTATAGTTCCTGTCGCAGCATTCCATAAATATACATTAGGGCCTAATGCTACAGCTAGAATATTACTCTCTGACCAATCGATCAAGTTTAAATCTGAAATATACGTAAGTATGAGCTTTAATGTTATCTAATAGTTATTAAATGTTCAGAGAACTTACAATAGTCATCAACAATTTCTGGGGCATCCAATATTCTGTCAGGAGCTTGTGGTATGTATCTTGTAGAAGCTTTTACACTTGCTGGCGTTTTACTTTGACTGTATACAACGCGTAACGGATTCAGATACCCTTCTGGTGGAGCTGGTGCTTTGTTTTGATAAGACAACACTCTCATTTGATTAAAATCACCGCCATGTAAATTTTCTCCTATCAGCCGCTGCATTTCTTTTTTATAGGGGCTTACATTGTCAGCTTTTTCCTCGTCCTTTTCTGTATTGTGTTGTTGAATCTAAATTTACAGATTTAATACTGAATAAGTTTATTCAGAATAGGAATATTTACATAAAAAATATACACATACTTTGTAATAACCAAGATCAAAGTTAGTGGTTGATCTCGAAGGTATAAATCTGTCACCACCACTGGGTGTTTTAGCTGACGTAAAAGAAGTGTGATATAATTAAATCATATTTAGCATTTTTTTCACTTAAAATTATATTACTGAAATTTAAACGAACATGAGATGATACCTGGAGATCTCTTAGAACCTTTACAAGGTGTCTTTTTATTTCTACTGTCATTCTTTGCTGACGGTGTCTTTGTCATATTAATACTTGCAAATGATGCATTTGTAGCTTTCCTCGATGAATTAATACTAGCATTGATGCTGCACAGATAAGTAGATAATAAATGTTAGTTCCCAATTAAAGAAATGATCAAATAGTAACATAATAATTAACAATAATAATATGATACCTAGAATTTGATGTTTCTAAGCATTTTTTCTGCCAACGTGGAAGTGGACCTTTAATATTTTCGTCCATGCAAGTTAAATTATTTATCTCCTTCATATATTTTAGATGAGACATTGCGATGACCGATGATTAAAAATAATTAAAATTGATATTTAATTGTAGGACTAACGATAACACATACAACCTGTCTCGAAATCCTAATGATCACTGTATTTTATCGGATTAAACAGTTCTCCTCAAGTTTATTACATGACAGATTTACTAAACTAAGTACAAGTTAAATCATTAATGCGCACGATAATGAGAAAATAACTTCACGCCAACGAACTCTTTTATACGACCAATTTGATCTGCTTGCGGAGAATATAATCCACTGAATCCACTCATACTCGACATTTAAGAAGTCCGTTAAAATTTGAAATTTCTCACACAATAATTCTCCTGTAGATGTCGCTATACAGAAAAAGGCAATTTTCACGATTTCCAACCAATAATTTAATTACTACACAGGTACCAATGGCAGGATTTCGCCAGGCTTGCAGTCAAATCTGCGGCCAGACTAGCGATAATCCAGATTTACAATAATGACTATATATACATATGTATTATTTTATTATTTTATACACAGGAAGAAACGAAAATGTTTTAATTCTATCTATAAACATATATTTATTGTTAAATAAAATATTTCATGAATATATTACGAGTATAAGTACAATATTAATTAAAGAATGTACATTAAAAGAATTCTACAAAATTGTAAAATTATTTGATAATACAGGGTATTTGTCGTACAGCTTTGTTTATCATAATTACTCCATAATTGATTGATTATGCACTCCTTCATTGTAATTCATATGACAATGTACACGTTCCTTTCAATAATTATCATTTGATATGTAATATTGAATAAAATTTCAAATATTTCTTCATTTACTA